AACGCAATTGAACCTTTAAGAGAATATGTCTGATGCTGCATTTAAAAGTCGGTGCCAAGTCGATTTCAAGAGATGGTTGCATATTTCACTATTTCAAAAGCTAATGTATATATATTCAGGATAAACTGGATTATAAATAGCAGAAAAGAAGCTTGAGTAATGATGTTAAAATTGTGACTAATCCATCGGTCTTATTATGCTTTTGTACTAGTATCTGATTTGAGCACCTCCAACACAGTCTGGTGGTTTTTTCTCGTGCTTGTTTAAAGAGCACCATATTCAATTTCGTTCATTTCAGAGTAAAATTTCATCCCCTCAACGAAACGGGTTGGATGGGTCCGCACAAAGTGGAACTCCGCATCCACTGAGAGTTGGCTTAAATTCAAGAGAAAGAATGATATTCGCGTTCCTTAAAAGAAGCCATTTAAGATGCAAAAATGTTAAAGTTAATGGCATCAACTGTTTGAAGGAAACTTTAATATAGCCATTATATCTATCGAATAACTTGTTTAACTGTCTGTTGAAAACTTGCCGTTTCTGCTACTGCTTACGATTATGTCTGTACTGAAGAATCTGCAACAGACTTCGAAACGTCAGGCGAATAAAACTTCTTTTCCCAGCGTTCGCGTCTTCTTCTCAACTTGCCATTTGTTTTTTATCAGCATATCAATGATATTATGGTCATATTATGGTCATATGCATATTACCTTTCACCTGGTAACTGTGCTGGAGGAATGGACGTGACCATAAGCTATGCCCACTGGTCTGTGATATTATACGCTTTTATGTGCACACGTCGAAGAATTTTCACAGAATGGATGCCATTGACTGCTCTCGTTCTTCCCAAACTACCCGGCGCGGTTTCCAATACAAAAGTCAACCACTGATTAGCAAATGAAATAACGCAAAACGCTTGTCAGACCTTCATATGGGCGCTATTTGGACGTTTGGTTTAGCACAGTTGGTTGTGAACAAGGATAGGAGTTTCAGAATCTTTATATATACAGTATTTTAGTGAATTTACACTACGAGACAGGTAAACTCTTCATCTAGGATTGGCCATTTCACAACAAGCTAATGCCGGATTTATTTCGCCGTCAGTCTAAAGAACAAATGAGGAAGTTTGCTCAACAAAAAAGAGGCCCGTCTCCTCGGAATGCTTCCGAATATTTCCCCAAATACAGCATCAATAATTGTATCGTTTCTTCATTTTTCAAATATCAAATTTTTATTTTGACGGTCTTCGTCAATTTTATTGGTAAACAATTTTTATGCGTTAAAAGTCTTTTATTTTAAGGTAGGAGTACCAGTTCACTAGAAGTTTCAACGAACATTTATTTTGAGCTGACCTTTCTCACCATTATTAAACGACCTACTCTTTATTTGGAATAATCCGATGGATGATATGCCATATCATTATTCTTTTGAGCAAAGTTTGTCCCAGTCGTTCGCTTTAGCCATAATGGAGTCTCTGGAGGTGGTCTAGTAGACAAAACCCTTACTTTTAACAGCAAAAATCGCCCTATCATTGGAGTACAAAAGTCATCCCTGCGATTAACTGTCTTGTTACTTGTCGAACGTGGGTTACTCGTGACGTAACCAAAATGTCCTATCACATTTTATAAAATTTAAACGCCTCCAGAAAACATCCTTCACCATGGAACATTTTAATGACATAGTTGACTTCTGCCTAAAACTATCTAAACGTTTTTGTCTAAATTGAAATATACCTTAAAACGTATATTCGTACAACTGGTCTTCATGTCATAGCCTACTTAAAAAAACATTTTGCTTAGTTATTCCCATTGCTTGTTCTACTATCGAGAAGTGTTATGAACGCTTAGTATACATCTTTTATTTCGTAGCTCAAGACCATGCGCACACGGACGCATTCTCCTTCGACATGCTTCTCATTTTCCCTTTCGATCCCCCAGAATGAGATGAATATCGCTGTACACATTGTTTATGCGTTCCCTGACAGGAAAAGGGAATAGCAACGCCCCGTAGTACAGGTGATTTTGCGCTTATTCCATGGAATTGGGGCAGAATAAAAGTTGTGTATGGGGTTCAGGTTTGGGTTAATGTGAAACTAAGGTTAAAATGTGAGGTAAGATTGGGGAAGTATATACTCTCTCTGTAAATTGGTTCAAGGTATGGGGCTACGCACTCACGTATGCGGTGGGTGGAGTGCAAATAAACTATTCTTATCGCGATATTTTTTTCTCATGCTCCTCACCTTCAATTTAAATACCCTAAAAAGAGATGCTCATTGTTTATAATTTCATTTGATTGCGTATGCTCCGACATCCTGACAAACTATGCTATTATTGCCAATAGACATGCGCATGTCTCAGACGTTTCTAAGATTACCTATGATTAAGGATGCCTGTCGGAAACTGAAACGTCGGGACAATAAAACTCCTGTTCCTGTGGTCGCTTCTTCTTCTGATATGCTATTATTTTTTACGACCGGCTTTTAACTGACGAGCTCTTTAAATCTGATCCCAGAAGGCTTCCAGGTTGACGAGAATTAAGGTAGCGATTGCAGTTAGTGTTGTGTATGTTCAGTCAGGTGCTGCAGTCCGAGCTACTTCTCATTTACACTCGAATGCCTAACTGAGGATGGTTTTGAAAGGTATGATGACAACTTTCCCTGAAACTGAAACATTACCTTGTAAACTTTGGCATTTAGACACCTATTCTGTGTAGCAAATAACTGAATGCGTTGACTTGGGAGGTCGACGGAAGAAAAAGTGAAAACAGTTATTTCTAACCTCGTTTAAGTGCTTTTCAGATAGTCCTGTGAAAAGTTGCCGGAAACCACTGGGGAAAAGTCAGTGGACACTGTGGTCAAACATTTGTACATTCGCAATGCAGATAATTTTTTGCGTTGGTTAGAAGTAATTTTTATGTCAGTCGTTAAAGTACACTTCTGAATAATTCCACCTTTCAATGTGAACATATTGTTGTGTTACGCTGTCCACACAGTTCATCTCGAAGCTTTCACATCAGCTTACAGGGAACTGCAAATGGTGACTGCACTCAACACGAGGCCACAATGATATAGAAAGTAATTATAAAGGCACTCGGACTGGCTTGCTTCAAAAACTGGATATATTTGCCAAACGACCAACGTTACTCATAGAATCACCGGTTAAGCTGGATACAACCCGTTAACCTTCCACTCCCAATAACGAAATTAAACATTTCGCGGTGTCTTTCTCATAGAGAAGGCTGTATTTGAAAGCAAAGGCAAAAACAGCGTGCAAAATATCCAGACGTCCATCGAAACCGCTTAAATTTATTTTTTGGCGGTAAGCAAAGAAGCGAAAAAGCGTCCATTTTGCGTGCACCATGACGTCTGTACAAGACCAGGGGCTCATAGCGCGGCCAACAAACAGAAAGGGCACCGTAAATTGATTGAACAAGCTGACAAGCATTTTAAAACATATGGGCAAGATTATTCGGAAATTTTAAATATTCCCTGTTCTTTACATATCAGTCAGTTAGAATTTCCTACGTTGATAAATTCCCAAGAAGTCTCGAAATCCTATTAGTCGAAAAATGCAAACGTTATCTTGGATTAGATATGGCTGGCTGATGCCGGCCAGTAGAGTAGACATTCCAGTATCACTTGTCTTTGTTGGAATTCGCTTCTGTAAATATTTGCTTAATTTTTCCACTTTGTTGACGTATTAAAAAGAGCAATTAAATGCAATGTTAACCTCCCATGGTTTTAAAATACATTGCAAAATCATTTTGTTCAATTCGGACCAACTGCTACACTAAGTATTTTCTTCATCGTAATATAGACGTACAACCCAGTGCTTTAACGAAATCTCGTTCACATATTGGGTCTCTGTCCTTATTTCAAAAAAAATACCGAGTGAAATATTTTATTAGTTAAATGTGGATTGATTTCATTATATGAAAGAAAGGTTCTTCCTTAAATCATCATTTGACGAATAAATTCTTTGAAACACCATAAATTATAATATATTTGAAGTAAATGATCAGCATATACAATTCGATGAAGCAAGCGAGCTTTACTTTTGGACCGACAGAGAGCCTACATCTTCTTATTATCCTTCAAGCATCCAACCGCAAGAGTATGACCAGCACAACGGTTAATTATTATAAGTTTTTGAACTGACGAGCACTGAGATGATCCGTCATGTTTCTGATCAATTCGATTTTTAATTTGTAGTTCCTTTTTAATTATTTTACGGCTGCATGGTATACGATAAAATTTAAAAGTTATCTAAAATTAGACAGTCACTACTCTGTTCCGTTAGAAAGTTAATATTATTTTCTACCTGCCGCACGTACCCCGGCCGATCTCAGTCGAGAAGGCTTCTTGCTGATTTAGTAAATATAAATCGTGAAGTAAGCGTTCGCAAATAACCGACAAAGCTCTGAATAGAATTCACTTTTCCATGTGGGGAAAACCTTAACTTGAGTATATAGATGCAAACCTTATGTACTCTGCAAACAAAACGAACGTAAGCTTTTCAGACGTTAACCTTTACTTATTCCATCATCAATCACTAAAACGACTTTTTAAATATATTTATATTTTTTAAAACAGGTTATTTAAGGCCTTACGATGAACAAGAATGCTCGGTGTTCTCCCACCTGTGTTGAAGACTTGAGCCTGTCCCCTCCAAAAATAAATTTCTCAACTTAAAATAAAAGGAAACCAGCTGTGACAAATAAGATTCGGTAAATAATTAACTAAGCAAACCATAATGTTCGCCTATTCTGCCCTATTTGGCTGTCCTGGTCAGCGGAAAAGACGACCACATGTAAATGCAACTGTTTATTCATCAAAGCGATCCGTATATTTGGTCGGCAAAAATACCAGTAAGAGGTGTGCGAGGTGTGAGAGTCTTATGCGGGCTTTTGTGTGGAGGTTGTCAGGAGCGGAAATGGACACACACACACACACATCTCCGGTATTGATATAGGAAATGACTGCTGTCGAGTTACCATCTTTTGGCTTAGCCCAGTCGAGATCCGATGAACATGCCGCGTTTGCCGAGGCGGCTGGCTGTCAGGAACCCGCGTTTGCCGAGACGAGAGGCGGTCAGGAATCCGCGTTTTGCGTGTGCCCGGGACAGCAGATACTCAAGCAGTTCCTCGTAGCTCGCATCACTGTCCGCCTGCTCGAGGTCAGCCTCCTCTGCCTCAATAGCGCGTGGAAGGTCTCCGTACGGTTTGGCGGAAGTAGAAGACGCAACCAGTAGACTAGCGAGTAACAGAAGGGTAAGCTGGTAGGCGATCGACGTGGCAGCCATGACTAGGTTCGGTTTAACTTCAGAGACCGAAACGGTACCCGCATTTATAGGCCTGTTGGCGGCTGAGCACATTTCCAACCAATCGCTTCATTCGGCCAAAAGGACTCACTCAGTGGAGCCAATGAGCTGAATTTCGAAAAGAAATAGTAGAACTTTGATTGGTAGATATCGTTCGATGGGGGAATAAAGTAGCCCTTCCAATGTAGTTGAGTCCTGGCCAGTTTGGCGACACTTGGTTTAACTCGAGAGAACTGACCTCATTGGACAACATGCTGTTCACACATCTAACCTTGTCTCTTGGGTTTACGGCAGATAGCACAGTAAGCCAGTTAATGACCTCCAGGCTCCAAAACAAGTGGAAATCTTAATTTTGTAAAAGAAGGCTCGGTCTAAAGCAGGTCACCAGAACATAAAAGTAAAATTGCAATATATTGCCATATATGCGTGTTTTAAAATTGCAATAACAAAAAGTCTTGCGGGTTGTTAATTACGCTGGCAGTACTGTCAAAATATCCATTTTAAGGGGGGCGAAAAAAAGTATGTGGCCACATACATCTTCACAGGGAAACTGTATTATGCTTATAAACGTTGGAGGTGCCACCATTCTTACACAGGCCTTCTTCAAATTTATTATTCAAAGACACTTTTGCCCAAGTGAGGATGTTCGTGGGCCAAATTTATTTTGCACTGGTTGGTTATGTCACCGATAATTGCTTCTTAGGATATTTATGTTAGCAAAACATAAGCACATCTAGAATGGATTTGACAAAGCAGAGGGAGACCGGAATGACCATTTTTGGCTTGTTAGCCGTCATCAGCCAGTCATACCCAATCTCAACGGTTTGAACCCCCGAGACCCGAACCCGGGACTTTTGACCATTGAGTTTACCAATCTACCATAGCACCACGGGCCCGGCGCTTTGTCAGTTGATATCGAAAATATGATGAATATATTGGCCAAGTCAATTTAATAGAGGGACAATTAAGTTCCGCTTCGCCATGGAGCCCAAAATTAGAGCCCGCACAGGCAGTCACATAACGACTTCGAGGATAGAACTGAATGGGTCCCACAAAGCTTTGAATTCATGAGGTTAATGTTTTTTCCTTAGAATTTCTTGTCTTGTTTTGGAATGCAAAATGACACTGTGTTCGATAGAAAATAATGGACGGTATGTATTTTCGCCTACAGTAGAACAGCAAGACAGAACACCAAAGAATCCTTGGCTCACTTTGATTCCTAGAGTCAGGAAGTAAAACCCACTTGTTTTCACTTAGACGGTAAAGTATTCCAGGTAAAACACCGCTGGAAAGCGCAACCTACGTTATGCCACCTTGAGCTTTTTGAGTTTATTTCAGATTCCTTTTCTTCTCTTAGAGATATTTAGTAGTTTTCAAATAATAAGCTTAGTTTTTGCCGCACTGGCTCCGCCTAATGATGCCCTGTATACAAAACCGAGCTTTCCTGGAATCTTAACAGTTGGGTTCCTCTTGGCATCACAGTTGTAGGCAGTAACTGTATATTAAGAAATAATACTTTTGCCTAAAAGTAAACAGTGCATGCTAAATAAGGGACAGCTATTTTGATTCACATGTATTTCTTTGAAGTCGTGAAGCCCAACGATATTGAGTGTTAAACTGGTACCCAAACGACACTTTGTTGTATTATCACCAACCCCCAGTCTGCATTGAACTACTAAACTACATCGTGCCAGATATACCCTTAAGAAAAATGGTCTGCTTGTCCTTAGTGAAAGCATTTCAATTGGAACAGTAAGGATGTTATTTTAAGATCAAATAATAGGGTAAATTTCCAGGTGGTAAACCTTGTTATCATACCCAATTGATTCATCTACATTG